TTCAGGTATGCATTCATCCATAATTTGATTTATGATGTTTAACACATTGTCCTACACATTTATTGAGAAGATACACAACATGCAGGGTTAGAACATTCACTTACAGGGTTTAAGGGAGATTATAATTTCAATGTTTCCACTCTTCCAAGACGATTTCACTCATTGGATTACCGGATAAGGATTTTTAAGAAAATCATCAGAGACTGCACTCACAAACTGAGAATAACTAATATATATATATTCACTATAAACATTCCCATGATTTGTTTTCAATTTCCATACTTTACCAGGAAATAATGATTTTAAAATTCCCTGATAATCCTGGATTTTCTATGACTGGGGAAATCCTGCAAACTGTTTCATGGTATTTTGTGTATTTATTGGAAAATTAATTCCACTATCCACCACAATTCAAAAGTTTGGGGTCAGTAAGATTTTATTAAAATTTTAAATCATAAAAAACTAAAGGAATGAATAATTTTTCTTCAGCAAGGATGCATTAAATTGATTAAAAGTGACAGTGAAGACTTCCATTTCCTATTCATCAAAGAATCCTGAAATAAATGTCACAGTTTCCACAAAAATATTAAGCAACACAACCGTTTTTAATATTGATATTGATAAGAAATGTTCAAATCAGCATATTAGAATGATTTCTGAAGGATCATGTAACACTGAAGACTGAAGTAATGATAATGAAAATTCAGCTTTTCAACATTTTAAAATATAATAAAATTGAACATTTTTAATTGTAATAATTTTTCATAATATTACTGTTTTTTTACTGTATTTTTTTATCAAATCAATACAGCCTTGGTGAGCATAAGATACCCATTTCAAACACATTCTTAGCTTCCCTGCAACTTGTCATTGCAAGAAAAGTGAGGAAAAAGACTGGATGGAAATCAAACACTTGATAAAACTGTCCAAACAAGACTAAGCTCTGTACTGTGAGGCCATTAAGTGATTAACCTGGCAGGAGCGGAACTGGTTGACCAGCAGGGTACACCTCTGAGGGTCCTTTCTGCCGTCCAGACTGTCCAGCTCAGTGGCCACCTGGTTCAGCTCTTCATCTGCATAGTAGAACTGGGCCAGCAGCTGCGGATCTGACCTCTGTATGAAAAAAGAAAGCAAATGTAAACAGATGGTCTGAATGATCTAATCAAGTACCAGATGATCAAACAAACTGGTGCTAAAGTAAGCAAGAATCAGAGTCCTGCAGTATGGTGCGTTTCTGGCACTGTGTGTAAAAACATTCGCTTTTTTAAAGACGCATATCTTGCATATATTCCCACACACCAGAAGAGCATGTAATGTAACGATAGATGTCAGCACTGGATTAAAGAGCACTGATGAGGATTCAGACCTTTGGACCCCTTCTGCTCCACTGGGCACTCAACAGAAAACATTCTCTTGCATCATAGACTGGACAGTGAATAGATACCAAGGTGTATTTCAAAGATCTTGGTGTCTCACAAAGAATTAGAAAAAAAAAGTTATGGAATATATATATATATATACACACACACACACACACACACACTCCTATCAAAAACAGAATATGACGACAATATGCTGTTGTTTTTCTTATCAAAAGAGCCATTTTCATGGAATATATATATATATTTTAGTGCTGTCAAATAATTGCTTAAATGCATTTATACATATATATTAATTAATATTTAGCATTATTTAACCATAAAATAAAACTCTTGAGATTTAAAAACTCTTTTACAAGAGGGTCCTGGCCAAGTCAGGCAGCGCACTTAATGAAAAAAAAAAATTAAACATTTAAAAATAAAACATATAATTAATTTAGTGTTGCTAGTCAAGAGTTGATATGATGTTCTGGTCCTTAAATATAGCTCGGGTCTCTATTTCAATGCTGCTTGTCTTTGCTTTTAGTATTATAATATTTTGTATTGTAAAAGCCCACAATTCTCCAAGCTGCATACTTTATCATTCATAACCATATCGCAAACTGTGCGGGATGATTTATACACCCAAGTTTTGTTCAATTCCTTAACCTTAAACAGAAAGATTAATAATAGCAAAGTTTGCCTTAGCAAGCAGAACTAACCTGTAAAATGTAGCCTACCTAAAGTTGAGTGTTATCTGAAAGTTGTGATTTGGAGTGTTTCCCAATTGGCTTTATGCCACAGCTTCACTACTTCCTGAACTTCAGCCAGCCCTTTGTTTCCTGTCTGTCATTATTGGACAAACTGATTAATCCAGGTGTGCCTGGCCTCAGTAACAATAATCAGGCACACCTGGATTAATCAGTTTGTCCAATAATGACAGACAGGAAACAAAGGGCTGGCTGAAGTTCAGGAAGTAGTGAAGGTGTGCATAAAGCCTATTGGGACATCTATGTTTCCTGGACTGTGGCTGTTTGTAATCTGCACATGAATTTGCATGGGAAGTGGCACGTGGCTGGAACATGAACCAGAGCTGAGTATAAGCTGATTTGAACCGGTCAGCCGCCCTATGATGCCCACGCAGGTGCAATCAAACCACTAGAGACTCCCAAATCACCATAGAATAACTAAGCGTTGCATAGGGAACTAAAAGATGTGGAAGGCCTATACAAATATATAAGGAATCAATATAGTTTAACTTTGTGTGACAATTTTGGTTGTGCATTTCAACAGACTTCAAAGTGATGTAAATGTCTGTACAATACCGTTATAAAATTACAGCAACACTAAAAAAAAAAGGGATACTAACAGTGACATACTTTTCTAAGCATCATCCAAACATCTCAAATACTTGAAGAACAATCTTTTCTATTTTACTGATTCTGTACACTTACAATCAGAGCGTCTTATACCGTAGTTCACTCCCAATGACGACAACAGGCATGTTTGTGAAGAATGAAGAATCCAAGTGAGTCAGAGGCAGAACTGCACCCATGGGCCAATGCTTCTTTGACAATGAGTGTTTGTACATCTCAAGGGGTAACCCAGGTTTAATTCCAACAAAACACTTTCCTGCTCTAACATCCTGTTGTAAGATTATTAAGATTTTTAAGACACACGTTCCCAAAAATTTATTAGACTAAAAAGTGACCCTAATCTCTCATAGAAACTGGTTAAAAACTGGTACTACACAACAAAACTGTTGCAAACCGCAATATTGCATTAGTTGCCAAGGTATGGATTGCAAGAGTGAAATGTGGTTTTTGATGTGTAAAATACAAATTGGTGACAGCAACAAAGTTTGGGGCCACACAAAGGGCCATTAAACCTCAGCAAAGCCAATGACCTATAGACTTATAGACCTTATGCTCCAGAGAAGAGAGCATGCAGCAATCTTTAAATGTTGACTTTGAACTTCTGTTTTTGCGGTAGCTCTGTATAATTCTACAGCGTCTCTGTCAAAGAGTTATTAGCTAGTGAAGTGGATTTACTTACTGTAGAGTTAATGAAAGTTAGCATGAGCATTGAAATGTTTGAAGCGGATGTCAGTAGACCAGGAAGATTTTAAGATGAGCCGTTCATTTGTAAATCCGTACGATCTTAGTAACTTCATGTTGTGGAAATACAAATCGGAAGATCACACAGCTGTAAGCAGCCAATGTACAGAAATATATCTCATCCAAACTAATCGTATTGATATATGTTTTCAGGGTTATTGCTGTCAGCTAAAAAACATTTACACTAATTGAAAAAAGTTTAAATAAAATCAAAATATGAGATGAAATGCACATTAAAATGAGAAATGTTGCAGAAATATATCTCATCCAATCTAATCGTATTAATATATGTTTTCAACTACAAAATATTTACATTAATTAAAATAAAGTTTGAATAAAATACAAAGTTTAGATGAAAAACAAACTAAAATGAGAAATGTTGCTTTGTCAACTAGCTAACTGAAAGAAGTCTAAGCACTAAAATTACTAACGGAAAATTAATAAATACTAAATATTATATTTTAAAGCAAATGCTAATAAAACAGCTGAGAACATGATGACTTTGTCCCTTCATTATGAATGGACAAAGTCATCTGAATGAATAATAAAGGGTTGTGATTCAAAACAACCAGAAAATCATACCTAGAAATATTGGCATATGATACCCCAAAAAAGCTGTCTTGGTAGGCAGCTCACATCATGTGATGCTAATAAGATATTTATGTAGACAGCTTGCATTATACGACGCCCCAAAATGCTGTCTAGGTAGGATGCCCACATCATATGATGCCCCAAATACTGCCGAAGTACGTTACACTCGCTAGGTTTTAAAACACATTCACTTAATAATAAAGCTATTTGATGAGTATTTATTAATTGAACTGATGGCAAGCTTACCTTTGGCTTATACAGCCACTTTCGGAACCGATTCATCATTGGTCACCTCGCCAGTTTAGCGACAGCTCCGTACCAAACCCGAACCGGACCTTTAAACCCGAACACAAACACACAGCTAGCGAGCTAAGCTAGCGCCTGCTCTTCAACAATGCCGTGCTGACAGTGTTAAGTAGAAGCCAAAAAACAGACACGGACAGTGTGAATCCACTATTAATTAATCGCGGGCACGGACTCTGCCCTTATTTCCAGCAGTCGAGCGGTTGTCTTTGTCCCCAAACACACAGGCTGCTCATGACTAAGCTTTTGAGCTCGAGCTCAGTCTGACTACGGAAGTTGCGCTCGCGCTGCTTGACCGATTACACTCGGGTCGGGTTGCCAAACAATCCGCTTTTTTATTCCTAAATGATTTAGTACAGTTGTTTTATCGCTCTTCCGTTTAGTTTACATAAATCAGCAAATAATGGGAAAATATTATTGTCAACATTCTTCTTATTTTTCAAACATTTTGTTTTTACTTTTATTTTTATTTTTTGTAAATCACTTTAAGGTAGCAAAATGCTCTTTAAATTTTTTTTATCAATATTATATTTTTTACTAAATGTTTTTTTTTTTTTTTTTGGACAAAAGAGAACAAAGGGAATAGCGCTGGAGAATGACGTCCTCTCAGGAAAAGTCGGACCGCCTCGCTGTTTCCAGGCAACAACAAAACACTGTCGTTGCCAGGTAGATGTTTTTCATAGGATATTATCATACATGTAAACCTATTCATATGGTTCAATTTAGAATTGTTGTTCTATACTGATCAATTTTATTAAGATGCTCCAATAATCTGAATCAGATAAACAAAGTGAAAAATTATCCGCATTATCGAACTGCTGTCTATTGGTCCGAAAGTATATTTAGTTTGGCTGAGAAATCCAGCGAGGATGAAGAACTACAGGGAACTTGTCAACGAAGTAACAAGGCTCCTGGATGAGTTTCAAGAAGACAAACAATGCATTGACAATTTTACACAGGATGCTGCCAAGGATCTTAAGGTAGCTACACAATATGTCTATTTTCCTCAATACATATCTCCATCTGTTTAACATAATGATGAGCATTTTCATTGGAGTCAAACCATCATATTTTTTATGTCTTATGTCTTTTAGAATCATTCCTCTGCTGACCAAAAGTTTATTATTGATACTTTGTATGGGTGTATCATGCGCAAAAAGCTTTTGGATGTTGTGGTCAACATTTTTTACATGCACCATGGACAAATTCTATTCAGAGTCGACCGAAACCTGTTCATTGGTACGTGTATTTTGTTGATGTAACATAGTACAAATATACTGTAATTTCCAAGCTCAAACTACTGTTAATCTAGCTATATTACGGTTAATATTACTTGCTATTTCTCTTTGCTAAATGTATACTATTAACAGAGTTACTTAATGTCAGACATTCAAAAAGGTAACAGATTTTCTTTGGCCTTGTTTGGTTTTATCAGTTGTCTGTTATCTTGCCATCTTCCATCTCGATGATCTTGGCCTGGATCATTTCAGTAGAATTGTCAAGTCTCTAGACATCTCAAAAATGCACAAAGTAAGCAATGCACATACATAATGAGCTTTTGAGCTATTAAACATTTGTATTACAGTGGAATTGAATCATAACTAAAGTATTTCAACATTGTATTTCCTCATCATTTGCTTTCCGTCTCTGTTATGGTGCAAATGCCCTGTCCGGTCCTTCAGTTCCTGAGTTTTTTCTTTAACGTCAGCAACCTCTCAACACATATCCAGAGGGAATGGAGTCACATCTATGATGCTGCCGTCGTAGATAGTAACTGGATCACCCCACTGCTGAGGTAAAATGATAATAATAATAATAACAGGAAAAGAGCTGTACATCACATTATTTTACATTATGATGCATATGCACACTTGATACTGTTAGCCGATGGTGTTGCATTTAGGAATGTAAATGCTTTGAAAATTAAATCACAAAAGAAATATGTATCCCATTACTGAATTGTGAAAAGTGTTTGTAAGTCATTAACTGAATTAGGTATATTAATTAGGTGGATGTTGAATCATTACATTTTTAATGAGAGTATGAATTCTATCCACCATCGCTGGAGGGTTGAAGAGGTGTGACACAGTTTTGCCTGATGCCAGAACGTGTAACTAATATATCCTGCTCTAAACAAGACGGCGTTTGCACGTTTAGTTCTGTTATTTATTGATGGTTGCTAGCAAGCATTGTGCAGATGTCTTTCTTCTTCTTCTTAGATGGTGCAGTGAGATCGAGGTGCTGCTGGATCAGCTTGCCAGAAAAATGGGCAGAGGAAATCTGCCGAAAAAGTCTCCCAGGAAAAACACAGAACCCAGGGAATTTGATCTGACCCGGCCCAAAGCTCGACCGCTCCCTGCTCCTGAAGTCATTCCACAGCAAGACAAGTCCAAGCCGGCAAGTATCAAAATAAATACTTGAAGTAATGGAGTATATGTTTTATGAATCAGTCATTTAAAAAATATTTTATTTCTATAAATATTTTTCTTTCATTCAATCATCATTTTATTATTGCATTGGTTGTTTGATAAAAGGCTAAAATATTTATTTGAACAAATCTGGGAGACTTTTTAATGCTACAAACCTTCAGAGACATATGGTGTCTTTTTATTTTCAGCAATGACACGGATATTAGACCAATCCAATATGTCCGGGGCCAACTAGGGGGCCTCAAGAAAATTTCCAAGGGGGTCGCAGATGACTTTGAGTATTTCAATTAAAAAGATTATTATTAATATAAGCTATAAATAATCTAACTCTAATCTAAATTAAAATGCAAAAAAAATTATTAAATCAATAACTAATAACAAAAAAACTATTGTTTTTATCGAAAAACATACAGTTTCTGAAACTTCTTCAATCACGAAATGATTTGCAACTTTGTCATAATTACAGCAGAAATACCAGAAATATTTGAGCCTAAATAGGGGGAGGGGTGGCTGAGAACTACTGCGTTATGACATACAGACATTGTTCACTTTAGATTGTAAAATAATGCTGATTGTGGCATTTCCTCCCCCAGGTACCAGTCACAACTCACAGATCTCCAAAGGAACCAGAGATTCTGGATGAGATGAGGCAGAGGAACCGACAAAAAGCTTTAGTAAGCCCAAACAGAGACATACTGGGAAACTACTTTTAATTTTGTTTATCGTTATTTACTTTGTGTTCAGACCTTACCTCATGGTGTACCTCATTTACTCCATTAGAAAGTCCTGAATGAAGCAAACTCTAAACAATTCAGCTGTGCAAACCCACAGAAGTCTGAGAAAACTCAAGTTAGTGTCCTACAGCCCAATTTAATTCATCAACTATGTTTTTTCTTTAACATCATCACATAATTTTTTTTATATATTCTGCTGAATAGAACGTAATATCCCAGATTCTTCAAAGCAATGATGCAGAACTCAAATTTGACCAGCTTTATACTTCTGGCAGCCCTGCCACCCAAAAGGTAATTTTGATTAGATAGAAAATTCATTGATAAAAAAGTTTATTGACACGTGCTTTTGAACTTATTTTCTACTACTGAGTATATTTGTGCAGTTAAATAGTGAATGTATATTTATTTACAATGGCACAGACAAACAGCTTACCTGTCAGACTGAACACAACAGCCATACTGCGAGAGGGAGCTTTATATAATCGTCAACTGGAAGAAGAGTTACAAAGGTAAAGTCACAACTCAATGGTAATCAGATTTAGTTATTTTTCTCTGTGCAATTACACAAATGAAGGCAAGGCAAGGCACTTTTATTTATAGATCACGTTTAAAACAGCCACTGCTGACCAAAGTGCTATACAATCACTTCAGATAATAAAATGAATTCTAAATTTATTTGGACTAATTATTAACCATTATTCCAAAGCATTGAAAAGCAACTAATAGCATATTAAAGGAATAATTCTCCAAAAAACAATTCTTTCATCATTTACTCTCATATTTCCAAAACTTGTTTTCACCCATGTAACACAGGAGATGTTCATGCTGCTCTTTTCCATTTAATCACAGTGAATGTCAATGGATGTTGTTTAATTTTTTTTAAATGACAAAAAGCACCATAAACTGTCTATATAACATAAAATTGATGAGAAATATTTAAAATGTTGCACTATTTCTATGTCAATGATCAAATAGGTAGATTTGTGGCATTGACTCATTTGTACAAAACAGCTTCTTTGCTGGTTCTTCAAATCACTACCACTTCCCTTGGTTAAGGGAACAATGGTGTGCTGCAAGGGTTAGTATTGGGTCCTTTGACCTTTTTAAATGATTTTGCACAAAGTTATAGTTCATGCTAGCTTGAGTGCTGCTGTAATTAAAACAAAATTATATATTTAGAATATTTTTTCAATTTACATTTTCACCTATTGTTATGGTGCTCATATAACTTTTAATGAAAATATTTGTAATGTCTGATCTCAAATATTTGGACCAAATTTTATGTATATATGAATGGGAGACAAATATTCTGGTTGATGGGATAATAAATATAAATATAGTTAGACCCATGCCAAGTCTTCTGAGATTATCAACAGTTTTGAGCAAGGAACAAAGTGAAAGTCGACCGAAACCTGTTCATTGTACGTGTATTTTGTTGATGTAACTTAGTACAAATATACTGTAATTTCCAAGCTCAAACTACTGAAAATCTATCAAATCTCATTGACATATATTTAAATATGGTGCATGTCTAACATCAATAGGTGCAAACAGCATTGGTTCTTGAGTCATGTGGACTGCATTTGTGGCTCTTTTAGGGTGACTTATAAAATCATGAGATAGATGTGAGATTTTTGGGTAAACTAACACTTCTACAAGCTCAATCATAAGAGTCATTGAGATGTTTTCCACTGTGGTCTAAGAAAAGTCCTTGTGTGTTGTATTTGGGTGTTCAGATTCGAGCGATTGTCACAGGGTGCAAGCGAGCCATCTGCGTACCTGCAGTGGCAGAAGGAGATGAAGGAGAAGGATCTACAGGAGGAACTTGCTGAACTGGAGCGCCGAAGACTGGAGGGACGGATCAGCCATGAAGAGGCCGTTCTTGCACGAGAACGCGTCTTGGAGCGTAACCACCATAAAGCTCAGCAGACTAAAGAGCAGGTGATCTCATAACAAACATCAGTGTTTGCAGCAATACATGACTCAGTCTGAATTATGTTTATGATGATGTAATGTGTGATTGGTTCAGACTGAACACCTCATGCGCAAGTATGCAGAGAAACGTCTGAAGGAGGAAAAGGAAATGAGAGAGCTTGTGCAACAAGTGGCAGATGGTCACAAGAACTCCAAAGCCGCCAAAGCTAAGCTACAAGAAATCAAACAACGGATAGGTACAAAGATCGTGGATGATACGTATGATGGCATAATATTTCACAAGACATGAAATGACGATAAAACACTGTTTTTCTCCGGAGCAGTTAAGGAAGTCTCGGAGCAGAGCAGGGAACTCCTCAGCCAGGCTCTGGAAGAAGCTCAGGCCGAGCTAAGCAGGAAGATGGAGCTCATCCGTCAGATTCGTGCTTTTGAGACAGTCTCTCTGGTCAGACAAAACTTTGTGGATGACACTGAGGTTAGTGTATTGTCTTGTTACATTTAATCAAAAATAGATTAAAATGATATACACTACCAGTCAGAAGTTTTGTATAGCTGCCTATGGGGATGAAAAAGAATGTATGCATCATTATGATCTAACCATTGTTTTGCTATGTTATTCAGACTGCAGGTCATGATTTGCTGTGTGAGATGTCTCTGGCGGAGCTGCGGGAGCGTTTGGCACTCCTGAGAGAGTCAGAACAGTGTGAGCTGGAGGACAGAAGGCAGCGGATCTTTCAGGAGAAACAACTCAAAGAGCAGCTACTACTAGAACAGCTGGACAATATCGCTCTACGCAGAAGTCTGGCAGAACAGGCTGCTTCTCGCAGGTAACACACCTGTCCCTGCATCAACCTACAGTCGGGTCTAAAAGAACATTTCAGACATTAAATTTTTTTGTTTTTTCTATTTAAACCTGTTAAAAAATTAAAAGAAGACAGATGAGAATGATAATAAACATTGAAGATTTTGCACTATTTCTAGGTCACTAATTAAATCAGTAAATTTATGACATTAGGGAACTCATTTGAACAAAAGATCAGATTGCTTTCATTGAAAAGTCATGAAGACTTATCACAGTACTTGTCAGATTTACAAATTATGTTATCTGAATGTGGTTGTATTTCTCCACTAAAACGGCTTGATTAGAAGTGCTGCCATTAACACTCATCATATTCTTCTGGACAGGCTTACAAATTGGGTTCGCATTTGTGGACAGGCACTAGCCTGGTTCAAATCCTCCCTCTTAGATCACTATGACTTTGTCTGGATAGTGGAACAGACACCAGGGCAAGTTGCATAAACATAGCCATTATGTTAAGACATCATGTCTTAAGTACTAGTATGACCAACTAGCGGTTAGTCAGGGGGCAATCAGTCTTACCCTTTAGGATGAAATTAGCCCGATCTACCTTTTTATGTAACTGACTTGAAACAGTTAAAGGGGTGGTTCAGAATTTTGGACATCGGGCCTCATTTCCAAGTTAGCCTTAGTGTTATTTATCAGTGGAGACAGTTTTCAAAAAAATTTATCCAGTCGTTCCAGTTGCATAGTTCGCCGGTGCTAGGCTAGCGCGAGTCAACGGTAACTGCTAGCCTGCCATTAAAAACAGTTTTACCCACTCCACAGTACACCAAAAGCAAATAAATTATAACGCCAGACTATCGATGCAAATGTCTGTTAAGAGAATAATGTTAGAAATCAAACTACTCTTGCATCTCAATGATCGCAATACATTTACAGGAACTAGTTTCTCAGCAGCGGCGGAATTTTACTTTGCTCCGGTTAGTACTGCGCCGAAAAGTAAACACAGAACAGAAGCGGACTACAGTCGGAACTACCTGCACTACCTCTCTCACCTCTCTCTCTCACTACCTCTCTCGGTTTTCTAGGTAACTACATATCACTCCGCCGCTGCTGTAGACTGTGCTAATAAATACAGGGAACAAAGTATAACTATACTAAAATGCAATGAAAGGGTAGTTTGAATATATTATGTTGAGTTTAATATGTGGAAAAGAGGGGCTGAAGGATTTCTGTTTTCAGTCAAGAAGAGAAAAAGATGAGAAGTGAACTGCGGGAGGCTGTCAGTAGAGATGAGAGAGTGCTGGCCCTACAGAAGACTCTGGAGCAAAAACAACAGGAAAGACAGAAGAGAAAGACTGAAAAAAACAGTATGAAGAAAAATGAACAGGTGAACAGTCCACTCACAGTGAAGACCTCCCTCAAAAAGGTGAGAAGAGACTAGAATACAATCCAGATGTCACAAATTTTGCCACAATAACAGAACAGATGTTTATTATTGTTATTTTTCTCCATTTAATGATACAAGCAGCAGGTTCTTGAGGAACAGCACTGGCAGGAGTTGGAACGCAATTTGGAACAACAAATTCATGGGGCCTTGGAGCAATCATCTAAAAAAAATGGTGCTGGTCAGAACCACAGGCGAGTTTTCTGATGCCTAATTACTATTACAATATAAAAAAGTAGAAACAATTGATATTGTAAAAATACATCTAGGCATAGTATAAATACATATAGTAATACTTGGCATAAAGCACGGTATCTATATTTTAAATAGCTTTTTTTTTTGCTTTGGCTGGAGTTACTAAAGAATTTGGGATGATGTTATGAAAAGCATTTTTACGGCTAAGTGAACAATGTTTTGAGTGGAAATTTAACAGAATGATTGTATGATTTCTTTCTATACTGAAATATTTATAATCAAAACACTACACAGTAACAAAGTGCCTTCTCTGTATTGCACAGGTGCACTTACTAAATAAGGACAACCGAATAAATCAGTTTAGTACAACTTTTTAATGTTGTTCCATTTCATTTTAGCAGAATTACCACAAATATCTTTTCCATTTACATTGATGCCCAGAAAAAAAGTAATGCCTGATGAAGAGTGAATTACTAAAACAACTGAAAAAGAACAGTTTCATTCAAAAGAAACAATGTATTGCACAAAAATACCATAACAACATGAATCATCTTGAAAAATCTACAACAGCATTTAGTGGAATACATTGTGAGCTACTTAAACATTCAGATGTGTACATAAATGGAACAAAGATATTAAACAAAATCACAAATTTACCCCAACAAGACATTTTCATACACAGTATAACCTACATAGTGTTCCATAGTGCTCAGACCTTATAAAACACATTTTAAACTACTTGATTCAACACAACAGTATGAAGATTAAACCCTTAGTGTCTAACATGAAAAATTTAAAATGTCAATTATTCAAAAGTATAAAATCATTAAGTCAAAAAAATATACCCAGTTCCTGCTGCATCTTAACTTACTGATACTTAAAAAAAAAAAAAAGAAGCAGAAAACATGTACCCGTTTTTATACCACAACCATTTCCTATCGTATCATGATATTATTCTGTGACATGAAAGAAGAAAACTGTTAAACTGCAGCGGGCCAAAATCTTAAAGTGCTTAGTTGTAGTGGTTACATCATGAGTGGTTATTACAGACAACTAGTATTAAAAAAACATAATACACAACCTACTTTTAACAGTAAATCAAGATTTGATTTGAAATGAATTGAGCCGTCATTTAGTCTTGAAAGGGAAGGTTTCAACTACAGGATTGTTATTTAAAATGCGATTAAAATGGTTTATTTTTAAACCTTTCTGATTATAGTTGTTTGTTCAAGCTAGAACAAACAAGAGAGGCAATGTATACATTCACATTCTCCTCCACATTCTCCTGACCCTTGATATGGATCAAGAAAAGTGTGAGAGGGTGTGTATCTCCTTATGAGTCCAAGGGCGTTTCATCTTTCCATAACAGATCATTAATCAAAGAGATGCATCATGCCTCATTGATTCACCAGGCTTTTGGGTTCCTCTTCTCTCTGAATGACATCCTCAGTTTGTTCCTGGGGGCCGGCACAGGTCGCTGAGGGACCTGACTGTATTCTTTCCCAGGATTCTCTGGTATATCTGACTCGTCATCTCTTTTTTGCTGGACACAAGGGTGCTGACAGGGCTCGATCTGTCCAAGAGGGGCGTTTTTGCGTGTTGATGCGTGACTCTTCTGCAACTGCTGAATGATGGCAGAGAATTTAGCATCCAGCGAGGGTCGCCCTGTCCTAGGCCTCGCCCCCTTACAGTTCTCTTTCTCCTGATTGGTTAAGATGCTGGTAAAGGGTAATTTATCAGGAGGGGGTGGAGGAGCTCTCCTCTTCTTTTTGCTGCCCGTGACGGGACTCGTAATAGTTTGATTGCTTTCTTTACCTGGTGACAGAACCGTTTTTTGTACTACCATTGGCCGGGATCCTTCAAACAGCGCTGCCCAATGAGGCGGCTCTGTGTCCTCCTCCTGACCAATGAGAAAGCGCCCATCAGTTTCCTCAATCTTATTGTGAATTATGTCAGTCAAGCTTTCAAATTTCCCAGGGGACCCGATGCCTGAAAAGAATACATTATTAACCAAATAACGAACACAGAAATAACAGGAAGTTGGACTAAACTCGTTCCTCCTAATTTAGTCTAACAAAAGCAGAACAAGTCACTCTTATATTATAAATAATACACATGTCCTTGATTACTCACTCAGATCATTATAAACAGAGTCAGCTTGCTTCGTAAGAAAGAGTGGGGGTTTCCGTGGTGACAAAACCTCAATTTCCATGAGCTTGTCACATGCATGTAGCCACTGACCTGAGAATAAGTTCATAATAATTGTTAATATACAAACTATAGTAAAATAATTTTAAATAATTCTGACAGACGCTAGTTGAACTGACCCTGGTCATAAATGTGCTGCCAGAGGGCATCCAGCCACTCCTGTAAGACTTCAGGAGTTTCAGTAATGAACACATGACTGACGGAGTCTCCATTTCCCGGGTTTATCAGGTTGAGTTTACAGCCAGTCCTCTGGTGGTCCTTTTCTACCACACGAATACGGGTCTCCTGCATAATCACACACACAAACACTATACTACATATTTTACGATGGTTCTTCAATGTATCCCAAATGGTAAAGCTTTGTCATCATTTGCTATTATTGCTGTAACCTTTAACATTGACCACAATTAAATTACTGTGCTGACTACAAGCTTATTAGATTAGAAAGGCTGCATATAGCAGTGTAGCCATATAGCCAATTATTATATAACCATTATTGGCTGATATTAAAATTGATAATATCTCAAGCATGTACGCTTGACGTGCGAGAACCAATGAGGTTCATTCTCGTGTTACGGCCAGCACGTTTGAGCTTCTGCAAGAACGAAAGAGGTTTGTTCTCGTGCAAGCAAGTATGGATAAGCTTGTTTATGTTCGCTGATCAATGTTAATATGTGAATAAAAGCATAAATTCAATCTGTTCATCATATAAAGCGATCAAGTGTCTTCAGAAAATTTGGACTGAAGTGCTCAATTGATGGATTAGTTAAGTTCCCTTTATAAATGTTTTTAAGCAACAAAATGGTAGTTGTGTTCCAAGGATGAACGAAAGTCTTACAGGTTTGGAACGACATGAGAGTGAGTAATTGATGTCAAGTTTTTCATTTTTGGGTGGACTAATCCTTATTTTTTTAGTCTTATATAAATATATAAAATCATGCACAAGACCAGGAATTTGTATTTTGTGGTGACCTCAAACACAGTAAACACTTGATCTTATACATTCCTTCCTAAAAGCAAAGTTTTGCATTCTGAGGTTAAGGGTGGAAAAATGCAATTTTAGAAATGTTTCTTACCTGGTTTATGGGAATAATGAGGCTGGGCTCCACTTTTGCTTGAATCTCTTCAGGAGAGTAATAGCATGATATCCGTCCAGCCTTCAGCATACAATATAACTTACAGTGGCGTTGCAAACCCTCAATGCTTAGCTAAACGGATAATAAAAAAAATGCTGATTTTACACATTTCATTACATTTACAAATGTTGACATGAATCTTTACTAGAAAAACACCAGTTGATGTCTTACCTGCTGGCTCAGGTAACTGCTCATCATGTCTTGTGTCATGCAGTCAGGTTGTGCCACCAGCTGACAGCACAGGTTTCCATACAGCGGCAGCCATGAAGCCTCCACTGACAGACCAATGGCAGGAGGTCAATCAGAACCACTATGCTGGTCAATTATTCAAAAGTGGGTTGTTTGTTCTTACCATTCTGCATGATTATAAGAGAATGAGACTGGAAAGATCCCTCTGCCTGCTCCAAGCCCAGTGTGGTGTACGCCAACAATGAGTACTGTGCACCTCTGACACAAAAAAAAGGTTTTTTTTTTTACATGCATTTATCTAGTACAACAATAGAAATGATTTTTATTAAGGAAATGGCCATTATGCTTGCATACAATGGTATTGGGTTGGACTGGAGGAAAGTGTCTGGGTCTCCTCCATCCAGAAGAGGGCAGAGTTTCCTGCCTGAAGATCTGCCGAATGACAAGCGCAGCTTCCTAGCCAGTTTTTTGGGAGTGTTGACAAAGGTTGGTTCCTCCTCCAGTCCACAGCTATACAGCTCAAACGTCAGTTCAAAGTCCGGCTTCGCTTCAGAGCTGTTAAAATGATTGAAATTGAGCTCAGAACTCTACAGACTGCAGTTCTCTTTCTTTTAAACAAGACCATAATTTTCACATATTTCTCAAATGGCTGTAGAGTGAAATATGGAAAGATGAGAACTTACAAAATTTTGACACCTTCAAAGCAAATATCGGTCATTGAGGGGTCTGCAATCACCATTTCAGTGTCAAAAATCTCTGAGCCAATCTTTATCAAACAAAAGACTGCCACCCGCTGTGCATCTGTTGGGTTCAGAAGATACGCATGGCATCAGGATAGAGATTTCTTAAAATATACATATATTATACACACTACTGTTCAAAAGTTTGGGGTTGTTAAGATTTTACGTGTTTTTGAAAGAACTCTTATGCTCACCGAAGCGGCATTTACTAGTAGTAGTTCACTTTAAAATGAAAATTACCCCATGATTTACTCTCCCTCAAGCCATCCTAGATATGACTTTCTTCTTTCAAACAAATACAATCGGAGTTATATTAATAAACACCCTGACGCTTCCGAGCTTTATAATGGCAGTAAATTGCAACAATCAGCTTGAAGCTCCAAAAAGTGCATCCATCCGTCATAAACAAACTTCAAACGGCTCCGGGGGGTTAATAAAGGCCATCCGAAAGAGTTTGTGGAAGAACAATATTCATATTTAAAACTTTCTAAAGTAAAATAATTAGCTTCCGGCCAAACGAACATACGGATTGTACTTAAGTATTTTCATTTTTAAGTGAACTACTCCTTTAATTATAGTAAAAACAGCAATATTGTGAAATTTTACAATTACAAGCCGTTTTCCCTTTTATTATATTAAAAATACCAAAGCTGCATTTTTTCCCCCAGTGTCCCATGATTCTTCAGAAATCATTCTAGTTGGGGTGATTTGCTGCCCAAAAAAACATTTCTTATTATCAATTTTGTAAACCTTTGTATGGCAGCTTAATATTTTTGTGGAATTTTTTTCTTTCAAAATAATAATTAATTAACAAAGTTAATTTGAAGTTGAAATCATTTTTAATATTATAAATGTCTTCACTGTCATTTGATCAAATCACTGCGTTGCTGCTTGCTGAGATTTTGACCCAAACCAAACTTTTGAACTGAAGTGTATGTGTGTGTGTAAGCTAAACCATTTAATTAATAAAAATCAAAACAGATAGCATATTTTTGCATTACATTCATAACATTAGCAAAGACATGGATGTTTTTAAATAATAAATAATTATAATAGTTTGTATACGGTCACTCACTCCCTTTGCTGTTAAAGTGTTCTGAATCTTTCCAAAACAATGGAATTCGCAGGCCTGGATAAGTAAAAGAAAAATACATGAATCAAAGAAACAAAGACATTTTTTACTACAAAATAACAAACAGGGTTATATGAAAAAAGAAAAGAAAAGTTGATTCCTTTACCAGATATGGCTACCTTTCCCTTACAAGGGATTTGATCCTGAGAGACTGAGGGTCTAAAAAAAATATATATATATATATTTGTATGCATGTTTGATCATTTACAAGTTTCCCACTAAATACTCCCAGCAATACAGCTGCTGTTCTAACCTTCTGATGTCCTGGTGCTCTTTCCTCCTCTGGGCTTCACTCATGTAGGCTTTAATTCTGGCATTACAGGTTAACAGACTCCTGGAAGCGTCCAACACATGCTCTTTTTTAGTGCTGGCAACGAGAATCTTGTAAGCCCCGGCTCTCATTCGCATCTCAAACTCCAATTTCTCCTGAATATCACGGTCCTATTGGAAGGGTAAAATCCATCAGGAGAAATAAAGTAGCTTAATGGACAAGTGCTCTGAAAACAGTCCTGGGTAAAACAAATTCAGACAAGAGGAAGAATAATGTGGGAAAGAAGAACTCTACCACACAGTCTATTCTACAATAATTCCTGATGCATGTGCATGCTGATTTATGGAGAGATGAAATATGGGCATTGGGGATCAATGGTCTGGACATCAATGAATGGGAATGGGCCAATGAAGTAACCTAAACATAGCTGGAAGAGAAGAGGAGCTCACTCTACTTTAGGGGGAAACATCGACAATGGTACATGGATCGATGAAAGTGAGTGAAAGTGTCATTTTTGGTGAATCGGTTATTTTAAAACTTAGATTCAATAAGTATTTAGTCCAGCCGTAATCACAAATTTTGGTTTGTTTATAAATAGTCATTTCATGATTTTATCATTAGCTCAATTATTGGTTCTCGGCTCATGGCTAATCGGACTTTCGAGTCAGAATCAAAAACCGCCAAACCAATTCACTAAAAAGATCCGATTCACATGAAACGATTTGCCCACGAATCGGATGTCGCAAGCAGGTGGCGAAGAAGACTAGTAGTCGGACAAAAACAATCTAAACATTAAAACATTGACTAATTTTAGAGGTGTGTGATGATGTTTTAAAACATTTTTTTCACTCATTTGGTCCATTGGAGGATTCCAACACATAACATGGTATGGAAGTTAGATAGAATATGAATGAAACATGACCACACTCTCCTCATACCAATAGTATCCAGCTGCAGACCCGCAGCACCACCACTTTCAGAACCCCAGCGCCAGAACCGGAAGTAATGGGCGGAGCTTACGTTCTAACACCAGCGCCAGGACCGGAAGTGAGGGGCCGAGCTTACGTTCTAAACCGAGTAACGCCACCTAACGTTTTGGAGCGTAGTTTGCTTAGACACGAAAAGGAATTATTACACACGAAACGTCATACTTTATACATATTATAATGATACATTAAGGTATAGTACAATAAGCATTTTAAAACGTTGATTTTGTGTAATATAATTCTATATAGTTATCCGTTTCATTGTATTATGAGAGTTACTTCCTGATCATGATGGTGAAAAATAATGCTTGAAACTTATGGTCATTTTATATAAAATATACTTTATTTCACAAGAACATGTGCAGCATGCATTTAACTTTATGTAAAATAATGTCAAAAATCTAAAAAGAGAGAGAAAATCCGGCATTGTTTTAAAAGAAACAATAAAAATGTACCGTACTTCAAATAATAGCCGAGTCCCAAATAGACGATTGTCTCTTTACATGCCTGGTGTGGCTGCAGGTCTGGGAAAATATAAGGCCGGTCTCAAATAGAGGTCGGGTCTGTTTTTTAGTTTCAGGTTGTATTCTAAAACCTGTCAGATCGTCCGCTTTTTGGCGGCCGCCAAAGCAAATTTTTGTCCCGCCAAAGCCTATTTTGAGTGAGTGATGTAGAATAGAATGACTGCTGCGCGTGACAGGGCGCTTAACGAGCAGAGAGAGAGAGAGAGCCCTGGCCGCGCGCGCGCACTCTGACGTCTTCGAACAACACGAGCGCTGTCTTGCTCTTTATTTGTCACATACCAGTTATAGTTCATACAACGAGCAGTGACTCACTGTGTAATAAAAACATATCCTAAATATTATTTAAAAGGTGCAACAATTTTAAATATTTTTAAATAGGCCTACTTGCAAAAATGTGTCATTGTAAATAATTCCGCCCCTCCCTCACTTCCGGTTCTGGCGCTGGGGTTCTGGCACTGGGGTTCTGAAACTGGTGGTGCTGCGGGTCTGCAGCTGGATATATCTCCCTCATACACAGACTACCTTTCGTTTCTTAGAAGTTATGAACAACAAATTCATGTCTTCTATTATCTGCTGCGTGTTATGCACACTTATGCATCGCTTCATATCTCGGTCTTTGGCCTGAGAAAATTATTGAAAGTAACGTTACCGGTTAGTCTTGAATAATAACGGACATGAAAACCCACAACGTGAATTTCAACATAACAGACTCACCTCATTTTGAAAAAACATGCTTTCTCTTATTTTCTTTCTCTTGATCTCCATGGCGAGAGAGGAACACGATGATACCGTGGATCGAGTGGCAATATTCCGTTTAAAATGTTGAATATCCCGCGGTGGATCCATATTGGCCTCTTCCTCAAGACAAGCCTCTCTCCGCACAAAAAACCAAAGGATTATACAAGCGCGAATCGACCAATCAGCTTCTTTCAAATCTCGCCGTTGCCTATACAACAGTTGGGCGATACCATATTTAAACTGAGAAAGGTTGGGGTATGGAAAAAACTAAATAGGTGTGCTTAAATAAGTCGATTTTATTAATACATTTTGTGAGATTAATACTAATATCTGAAGTATCCTACATTTTAAACTAGTTTATGCAAACTATCAAATAATGTGGGTTTGTGTTAATGCTGTGATTTTGTGCTCTTCTCCCCCGTCTGTCTTTAAATAGATTGACCTGACGGTCTGCCGCACTGCATTCTAATGAATCCTGAATGTTCTGACCGAATCTTTTCAGTCAGTGATCTTTTTACAGCGATTGTAATTTTACACGTAATGCGATGACATTTTGCAGACGAAAACTGCATTCAGCATCATATGAAAAGAAATCAATGTCACCTCTGTCGCTGCTGTCACGCTCATTCTTGACCCAGATGACTTCATACACCTAGATATCGTTTTTACTGTATCTCACTCAATCAGAGAGGGTTACAGTGGGGTTCGGACTGAAATATCACGCAACAGATAACCCGAAGGATCAACAGTTTGATCAAAGCTTACAATACCCAATCCCACTGGAGCTCGTTCATCAAGGTATGATCGCATGCTTGTGGTGTTATAGAAAATGTCAGCTGACTACCTGTCTGATTTCAGACTCTGCCCAGTAGATCGCCTCCTGTTTGCTTAAGAAGATTTTCACAAATATCTCTGTGGTAGTTTAATGTAAGTATAGAAACAATTATGGCATGATCTTCGGTTGATTTAAGCATATTATTAATCCATTAAAACATTTGCAAATGCATCTCACCACCGATGTGCATGCATTTGATTTGCCAATAAGCTTTAAATCAACATATTTAAACCATGGATATGCTGAAATTAAGAACATAATTAAATAGTAATAATGGATGGAAATTGTCTTGTTATATTCGGAATATCTAGCACGCAGCCTAGTTGTGACAAGTGGTTCAAGTGTTGATGTTAGTTTTTTATTTTATTTTAATATATTCTGTCTATGTTAGGCTTTGAGAAAAGCTTGCTCTAATCAAAATGATCAGTGACAGCGAGGGATGCACACCATAGTTGTCGACCATGCCGATATCTAAAAAGAGCTCATGGTGGCCGATAAAATACCGATAATACCGCAGGGGCAAGTTGTCACACATTTCCAGCTTAGCTTTATTTTTTAAAGTCACTTTCTGCATAAGCACATATTTTACTATCTGCGCTACAAAAAAATCTGTTGATTTTTTCCCACCGGTATTTCCTCCATGCATGTTGACATTTTGTGACATCCCAATAGTGTTGACATAAAGGTGAAAGCAGAATAAAACATAATTAATAACCTAATTAATTCACTTATAAAATGAAAGCTACTGTTCCAAATTATGTTTTCCATTCAGATTCATGCAGTTTGTATTATATGCAAATAATGTGCATTTAAAAATATACCCAATATAGACAGATTAATCATACTGCCTGATATATTTCTCTATTACTCAGTTTCTTTCTGTAGGTTTTTCTATCGTCTAAGGCAGAAATGAACAAAAGTTTTACTAAGAAGGACCAAAAATCATACAGGAGTGCCGTGGCACAAACGTAAATGTTGCGTTATATCCAACTATGTTATATTAAATTTGACATGATTAAAACTAAAAAGTTAAAACAAAAAGATACATTAGAAATTTGCATCAAAGACATGTAATTTCCCCCCCTGTTCCGATATGGTGGGTCAAAATCACAGGTTATCACAGGCCAACTTTGGCCTGCGGACCCTGGTTTGCCATTTCAGCTGTAAAGTATTTTTATATCAAAGAACTCGGGTGCACAAATTTCTAATATTTTTTTATTGATAGGTTATCTGTGTCATGCAGCAGAAAGTGTGCACACGCAACACAGCGCTGTTTGTGAAGAACGGTCAGGCGTGTGGAGCCGGGGTCCCTCCTCAACTTCCTTTCCGCTGCCCGCGATGTGGAGAGCACCAACGTTTCCACAGTCTTTCTTCCCTCAGAGCTCACCTTGAATACAGCCACCCGTTCCACACTAAACATGACATCAGCCTCCTATCCACAGGGGATTTATGTAATCTCCAAATCTCCAATTCCGACATGCATAAAGTACGTGATGCCGGCACCAATACTAACTCAACCACGAGAGGAGAGCGCAAACACATATTCGCAGCCGACCAAGCTCCATCCCAGCATCCCGCAGGGCAAAAGCTCATGCCCCCCGAGAGGAGCTTCAGCGTTGGGGACGCATCAGCTGGTGCTGGGCCCCTCTCGGCTCCGGTGGCGTGCGTGGAGAAGCGGCTGGAGGGGATGATGAGGACAGCCAATAGCAGCATGGAGCGGCGTCTGCTACGGCTGAGCTCAGAGCTAGCGCAGACAGACACGGCTATCCTGTGTGAGCGCGCTCACTCGCATCACCTGGCCCAGGAGAAACAGGTAGTGCTGGAGCGAGAGCGGGCGCTCAGCCGACAGGTAGACGCCGCTGTGATGGTGATCGCCACGCTGAGGCAGCAGCTCAGCATCTCGGAGCACGAGCTGGAGCGGAGAGAACAGTGAGTGAAAGATTTAAAGGGTTAGTTTGCTAACTCATTCACTCGCCGTCACGTCGTTCCAAACCCTTAAACCTTTCGTTCATCTTCGGACACAAATGAAGATATTTTGAATGAAACGTGAGAGATTTCTGTCCCTCCGTTAAAAGTCTACTCACCCAAACCTTGACGCTTTAGAACTTTCATAAACATGTACAAGATGCACGTCGTAATTACCATAATTACGAGATGACAGTCAGCCTGTGGGTGGTACAAGTTGGCTCCTTAAGAAAATTATGATGTTACAAGTTGCAATTACGAGTTGTACGAGAATGTAAAGGCTTTTTACTAGTCAGAATGGCATGAACGCATCTAGAAATCCATATAAATTGTTAATCCAAGGCTGTGTCTAAAATCGCCCCCATATCCTTAAAGGGTTAGTTCACCCAAAAATGAAAATCATCCCATAATTTACTCTCCCTCAAGCCATCCTATGTGACTTTCTTCTTTCAGCCAAACACAATCGGCGTTATATAAAAATATATCCTGGCTCTTCCAAGCTTTATAATGGGAGTGAATGGTATCTTAGATTTTGAAGCCCAAAAAAAGCGCATCCATCCATCATAAAAGTAATTCATACGGCTCCAGGGGGGTTAATAAAGGCCTTCTGAAGCAAAGCGATGCATTTTTGTATGAAAAATATCCATAATTATAACTTTATAAACTATAATCAATGGCTTCTGGTAATGACGAGTTCTGGCGGAAGAGTGACCTCTGACCTCTAATAAAAAACATTCTTCTTTTGTGTTTCACAAATAAAATAATGTTAAATAGGGTTGGAATGACATGAGGGGGAGTAAATGATAATGAAATGGAGAAAGTGCTCAACTCTGTGGCTTATTTTTACACGAAAACGTTTTTTTCTTAAAAGTGCAGCAGCAAGAAACAGAACAAAACAGTACTACGTTTATGGACTTTGAAGAAAACTTTAAATATGATTGGACCCCTTTAATCCTTTTACATTTTGTGTTGAGAGCCTAATGTTTCACAAAGCTGTTCTACAGTAATACCCTTGACTGTATCGCAGGGAAGTTGTCACCATCCAGAAGTTTCTGGAAGCAGCGGCGCAGCATGAGATGTGTGGGAAGGTTCGTTTGCGACGGTTCATTGAAAGCCTCTTGCGGCGGATCTCCCTGGCCGAGAGACTACTGGAGTATTATCAGAGCGTCCCTCACAGGCATTACTGCACGGCTCACTCTGTATGTTACCAAAATATGCATCAACATAACACTGCATATCTCACGACTTTTAAAAAGGGTTTTAGAAAGTTTTTTTTTTTTTTAATCACACAGGGTCCTCTGTTTTTATTGTTTTCATGTTAGTTATATCACATTGTGATTTGCCTCACAACATTTTAAATAGTAGTATTTTAAAACAAAATTCCTCCATGGCTTTTCAAAAGAAATTATAATAAAAGACTATGCCAGTATTACAAGATTTACAATGTTTTAATTATGAAATCATTCGTTTTTTTAAGTTAAACACCACTATTTTTTACTTTTAAATGAATTTCATAAGTCATTTTAAATGCCAGAGCATCAAGTCATTGACCCTGTACTGGTATACAAAAGATATTCCCATTGATAATGAATCACCTGGCATGACCTACTTCAGGATTGCAGTAATGGACTTCTATTTCAGAAATATGTCAGCCCTGTTGTATTTCTCTAATTTCTCATTATTTCAGGTGCCTCTGCCATCAGAGTTCGGTCCACATAGAATAACACAAAGCAGGTATTTCATTATTGCTTTCACTTTTAGAAGAAAAGTCACATTAACCCAGTAATGAGTAATTCATGTAACCATTTAACTTTAACTTTTTAAGCTTCACTGTAAAAACTGGTAACTAGTTTTTTTACTTGATTTAACCAATTAAAATTAATTTTGTTGGTATAAATGAATGTATTTAGGTTGATTCAGTAATATTAAATAATATTATTGACTTGAATAAAACCAGTTAAAGGTGCAGTACACTATTTCTGAGAAACGCTGTTGAAAGTGAATCAGACGTGGTAAGAGCTTTAGCACCTGCGTTAATATTAGAAAAGATTTCCAATGGTGGAGAGACGTTAGAGAGCAGGAAGAGCTGAAAACGGACGTGAGGTTGCGTTGTTTCTGCTCCATACATGAGTAACATTGGTTTAGCTGTTTCACAGAACTAAGATATGCTGTTGTTGTAATGTTAGCTCTAGTAACAGCACAGTTTTGAGTGTCATTGTTTGTCTGGAGCTGCTGGCGAATAACAACCAACTCTTGCTTGTATGTACTCTTGTGTACTGTATGTTCATTTTTCGTTCTTCCTTGTCGTTCGTTCGCCATCTTCGCTTTATTTTCCGTGAAGCTTTATTTTCCTTCGCTTCTGCTATGATGAAGAGACATCCAGTTTGTGGGCGGAGCAATGAAGGGAGGAGTGTGTTTGTTTGGGTTGATTTCAAATTTCAACAGTGTTAAACAATGATTCTCAGAAATCGCTTACTGCACCTTTAATTTAGATGTTATAATTTTTTAGGTTATCTTTTTTTTTAGGTGTTAACTTCCTATACTTAACTACCTGCGTAAAACAATTCAGAGCACTTCAATTTAAATCATGGGTTGTCCTCTCTAACTAATTAATGTGATCCTATCAAGACAGTAGAAGATCATGTTGCCCCTTTCATAAATTACCCTTCTGTGTTCTTTTCCATTTAATTAGCCTTAAAGTGTGTACAAATTAAATGAAAGAAATAAAATGTAAAAAACAGGTCACTGCTTTATCTGCTCCCATGAAACTTTAATAATTTGCTGTGTCAAGGTCTTCGTCAGGTGATGTCTCCCTTTTTAATAATTGTTTTTGCTTTTTGCTTTTTGGATAATTGATTAGTTTTATCTGGTGTGTGTTTATTATATATGTGAAATAACTTGATATTTGTTGTTCCTACTACCTGACAAAGACCTTTGTTTTGCAATTTATATTGGTTTTATGGGAGCAGATAAAGCAGTCAGTGTGTTATTATCTGTTCTTTTTTTCATTTATTTCATTTAGACTTTTTTAACTGAGTGTCTGTCCAACTTATTTTGCTGTTTGGCATCAGGTCTTCAGGAGAGCATCTTGAGCAGGATGAAGAGCAGCAGTTGCTTGGTCAGTCTGGATGGGAACTGTTGGAAGGTTCTGCTGGGAGACTGGGTTACGACAGCTGGTCCCAGCAGAGGAGGTCAGATGGGTATGAGGTTTAGGGACAGAGGTGGAGCTTAGCAATGAGTGTACATGTAAATAATATTGAAGTAAATATGTTGAATGTATTAACAGTTATTCAGTGGGGTCCAAAGGTCTGAGACAACATTAAAAAATCTGGGATTCGAAATCCTTTCTTTTTTTTTTGTTTTTTTAAAATACACTACCAATCACAAGTCGGGGGTAAGATAGTTTTTAAAGAAATTCATACTTTTATTTAGCAAGGATACATGAAATTGATCAAATATATATTCTGAAGGATCATGTGACTGATACTGAAAATTCAGGTTTGCATCACAGGAATAAAATAAATTACAAATGGTAATAACAATATTGTTTTATATATATATATAAAATAAATGCCTCTTAAAAAAAACAAAAAAAAAAAAACATTTGAATGCTAGTGTATAATTTATTACAAAAAAACTTGCAAATATATTTACACATTGTCATAAACAACCAGTAAATTGATTTAAGTTTTACAAAAGATAGGTACACAAAATTTCAAGATGCACATCAGTGAAAGTAATGATAATAAGTGATGAGATAACTTTACGCTACGTTCACACTCCAAGCCTTAGTGCCCAATTCTGATTTATTGCTCAGGTCCAATTTTTTGTTTGGCTGTTCACATTTGTCACGATCCTGAACTGACCCGCATGCGCAAAAGAACAATAACAAAGATGGCGCAGCACGCTGTCATGGAAGTAAACACAGAATTACTGAAGTCAGTGTTCAAGTGTTCATTTATAAGCTGACGTGCCGCTGAAGTCAGTGAATTAGTGTGCAGGCGATAAGGAAGGACACAGACGATGATGAGGAGCAAGAGAGCAACGTTTTTCTTGTGTATTTTTTCTAAGTTTTGCTTGTATAGAGCTGTCACCGTAATACTTATGAGTATAACAGCTCACCGTCCCTCCACTGACTAACTTCACTGCCGTCTTCCATATTCACTGAGTGACTAAAGAACTACCGGTATGTGAAATCTTTGGGAGTGACTCCCATCAGCGCAGAATTGTGATGAATGATGAATTCTGATATGACTGGTCAGACTGAGGTCGCATTGCAAAAATTCAGACATGTATCTGATTTAGGACCACATATGGAAGCAAATCAGAATCAAAAATATCAGATTCCATGTGGCTCCACAAAAAAATGGCCTGCAGTCTGAATGTAGCATTACTGATTGATTCATGACTCATTACGAGAGCCGTCTCAGAGTCGGACTGGTCTTCCTGTATGTTTGTTTTTGCATGCAGCCAGCAAGGATAACTCAAAAGAAAAACGTGTTTTCACTAGTGCAATTGTTTGTTTTTTATTCCACTAGTGACTTTTGGACTCCACTGTATACAAATATGAGTTACACAAAACACCAATGAACATCAGCAATGTCCAACTACAGATGGCAGATTAGTTATTTGATACTATTTGATTCTTAAATGGGATTATGGTCTATCTGTGAAATATTTTAATAAGATTGGCTCTAGTATGAACACACAGTGAAACTGCCCTTTAATTTAAATAGATAAAGCTGTTATTACAGGCTGCTTACTTAAAGTGGAGCTATAACCTAGTAAGTAATGTCACAAGCTTGTTTTCTAACTGAAACTACTGTTCAGGAAAATGAATGTAGTTATATTATCTAAATGATGTTGTAGTTTGTTCACAAACTTTCTCTCATAGAAAATGCACTGTTTCAGCAAGAAGCTAACGTATGTAGCAAATATCTAAATAATTTACTTTTGAAGGTACCGTTGTGTATTTGAAATAGTGGTGCTACATTTCAAAGGGATGAATATGTTTCCCTGCTTGTTAGCCAGCCTCATTAGAAACTTAAAACAGGAGAGAGAAAGGAAACTTTAATAGAGAAAGTCAACTGAAGTTCTCTTTTGTTTTAAAACATGCAGCTATCGAAATCTGTATAGATGTTCTTAAGTGTTCTTAAATTCATTGCCAAGTAGTTTGATAAAAGATCCTTTTTGCTATTCTGTACAATTGGAGCGATAGCGCTTTGACTGAACTGTGAAACAATTCTGTTAAAGAATGTACTTTGATTTAAAGGGATAGTTCACCCAAAAGGAAAATTCGGTTACTTGCTCTAATACCGTTCAAAGTTTTTTTGGGTTTTTTTTGCCCATATATGTCAAAAGATCAAGGAAAATTTGATTTCTCATGTCATGACCCCTTTAACCTCTTCATAGACTTTAAAGTTGAACATTTTATTCAATAATTCCCAGTCAGTATAACTGGAGCAGTAGCACTTATTCTCATCTTTGGCAGAGCTGTGAAACAATTCAGAGAATAGTAGTAATAGCTACTTTAAGTAATTACCAAAGTCCTGATGTCATTGTTATGGCAATGTACAAGAAATACTGACATTTACGGTATAACGTGAAATATAATTTTATGTATGATGAGGGTAGTGTCCATAAAACAAACAGATTGGAGGAACAGGGTAGTGCTTTTGGTAGAGTTTGATGCAGTGTTTATCGATAAAGGACCAGTACATGCATGTATTTGGGTCGACCCTTCATTCAGTCGACCCTTCATGTTTTTTAAATGCTAGTAAGTAGTGTGTCAGATGCAGGGTAGATCTTACCCACAGCACATTAAGTCTTCATATGAAAACCGTCTGTTTTGGGGGGGAAAGCCAAATGAGGGCATTTGCTAACATTTCAGCTCAGGCTACTTGTTCAGTTCAGTTTAGGCTCCGATGTTTTTCACATATTATTGTACCAGTTGCATGTGACCAGCTAAATAGGACCACTCAGCTTTGCGTGTGAGTCTTTTACCTTAAAAATATACAAAAAACAAACAAAATTGGATTTTGAGTTCAGAAGATGAAAGTATACAAACAGCTAGTTATAATTCTTGTTTTAAAGGTGCACTCTGTAATATTGTCTGCAAATATTGGAGGGTTGTTTCTCCTGCCCTGGCCTTGTCAGTCTCCACAGTCACATGGTTGCCAGATTGAGGACTCGCAACAAAAACGTGCATAATTGACAATAGGAAGCGACGAGTCTTACAGTATAAGTTGATCAGCTAATGTATATGTTTGCAAAGTTTGCCAAGGCTTTTTAGGTCGGGTAGAATTTGCGATCTCTGACCCAGTTCGTTTACTGGCTTCCATCGCTGTGTTTTCTGCCAACTGGCAACCCGGAGTGTCGAAATACTATTGGGTAAATTGGCAGTGGGCGGGATCACACGAACCAAAACAAAAACAGACATTACAACACAGAACACACATTTCAAAGTAGAATAACTGGCTGTAGGATTGTTTCTCAAAGAAACAAGTATTTGAACTTAGCATGTTTCCTACATCTCTGCAAACATATATTTTTATGCTTTAGTACACTCAAAAAAATGACATAGAGCACCTTTAACCTCTGTTTGTGATGTTTTGTTCAGTGGTGGCAATGTCATCCACTCCATTGTGTGCTCAGTCCTGACACTGTGATTAGAATCTTATTTTGTCTTTTGTGCTTCCTTCCAGTTTCTGTATTACTTGATATGTTGTGTTTACTTAGAAGGAGAGAAGTACTGTAGTGCTGTGTGAGCATGAGATCATTCACATCCATCAGTATTTTATTGTGAGTGAGCATGCTATAATGCTTTATCCAGTGGCTTGTGCAATATGTGACAATACTTTCATGATGGGAGGAAAAGAAACGGTATACTTAACTGTACAGAAAACATTGGAGGACACTAGGGTCAAACTAGACATCATAGGGCTCGACCAAATTCACTTGTGTTTTTCTTATTTTTATAATGTCTCATTAGTCCCAACTCCCAACTAACATTATGGACGGACTGAAAACATTAATAAGGATGATGCTAAAAATAAGATTAGTATAGCATTAGTTGCTTATCTACCGTATTTCAATACTTTCAACACAATAATAATGTCAATATTTTGTCAATATCAGGTTCGAATTTCACAGTATACAGTATGGGTGGCCATATCAAATTCATTCATAAGTGGCTTTTTTTTTGTCAGTATCAGTTTGATTAGGTCATTCGGCCGTTGTTTCACCAAAAAATTGTATACCGATGCATCCCGAATATTAATACCAGTGTGAATTTCTTTTCTGTGAATTAGGTTGGGCTCTAGAAGTGTAGGTATGCCATTAAAGATGACAATCAGAAGTAGAACAAAGCTAAAAAAGAGATTATAGAAAATAAAAAAATTTTTTGGTTCTATTGTTTGGTGTTTCTTGATAATAATGAGTATAATTTGAGCTGATGTTTTAATGTTTTCTCTAGACTTATCTTAATGTTTGTGCCTTTCTCTCGGAACATTGTTGTCTGTATTACACGTGTGATACTGTGAGATTTGAAGTCTCGCGCTATCTTTGCTGCTGTACGTGATATTCTGAATAATAAATGTGACTAGAATTGATCATTAAAGACTGATTTGTTAATGCTTTGTCTGTTATCCATCTCTTGTGGCAACTGAATGGTCACTCATTTGATGAGATGCACTTTTTAACAGTTTTTTTCTTTTTATAATGTTGTAGTTTTACATAGTCGGGCTTTACATTTCTTCAAAAATGTTTAATTCACTTCTTATTCATCACTGCAATGCAGTGGATGAGCACTAGAGGGTATCCTCAATTTTACCATCTATGCAAAACTGATTTTAGGATCTCTGTGAAGAGCTTCTTGTATTTGTGCAATTATGAAAAACCCTGAATTAGAAGTTTACGGCCAGTAGGATCAAACTGGCTGCATCCCTAAAAAGCAAAGTATGAAATAGTTGTATTATTCAACAACACACTTCTATCCCATGTGACATTTTAAAGTTTGTATTTTCAGTCCAACTTTGGAAGATGTAGACAGAGTAATCCTTGTGCTTTCCAGGGGTGTGTTTAATTAGATCCAACCACATAAGTTTGTGACACTGTTTGCGAATGTTCGTTGGAACTATAGTTTCGGGAAATGCCAAATCGTTCAACTATGTTGGCAAAGACAGAAATGACTTAAAGTAGCTAATGACCATAATTG